AATGAATTGTGCTAATGAGCTCCTGCACCTCTTTTTCTACAAAATGACCCCTGTTATGGGTGTGAAAATTGGACAATGAAAAAAGCAGTCAGGAAGAAAATTGATTCATTTTAAATGTGATGTTGGATGAGAGCTTTATTTAGTTGTTCAAGATTTATTCTACTCCCACTTTTCACCCTTGATTGAAGAGTTTAATTGATCTTACTAGGGCTTATTTTACAGTTAGTATAGTAGCTGGACTTATTTTATAGGTAGTATAATAGTTTATTAGTTTACATAGCTCATCCCATTTAATTTGTTCTCTATTTTTCTCAGCTTTGTTTTCATTGCTTTTGTTTGTTTGTTTAGGATTTGTTTTGGGTATTTTTTTGTTTGGCACCATGGGGGGGGGGGGTCTTTGAAACATTCATAATAGGTTTTTCAAGAGCCAGGGTTGTAACAGTATCTGTGTGTGGGGGGGATAAAGTTTCCATAGCTGTGATATGGGTAAGAAAAGGTCTCACCCTTCCCCAGTTGATGAGACCCCAAAAGTAAATCAGGCTAAAATGGATCATTTTATAAATCCCTTTGAGTCTATTGAATCTTACTGGCATCCAAATAATTTTATTTCAAGAGGAAGAACCACCAGTGACCTCTACACAACATATACAGCCTCCTAAGGAGACAGTAATGTAGACTGATTTGTTGTTGTTCAGTCACACAGTCGAGTCCAACTCTTTGAGACCCCATGGACCACATCATGCCAGGCCATCCTGTCTTCTGCCGTCCTCTGGCGTTTGCTGAGTTTCATGTTCATTGCATTGGTAACACTGTCTAACCATCTCATCCTTTTCCATCCCCTTCTTCTGTTACCTTCTATCTTTCCCAGCATCAGGGAGTGCTCCCTTCTCATTTGGTGGCCAAAGTATTTGAACTTCAGCTTCAGTATCTGGCCTTCCAGGGAACAGTCAGGGTGGATTTCTTTTAGGCTTGACTGATTAGATCTCCTTGCAGTCCAAGGGATTCTCAAGAGTCTTCTCCAGCACGTATTCTTTGGTGCTCAACCTTCCTTATGGTTCAACTCTCACAGCCATACATTACTACTGGGAATGCCATCTCTTTGACTATGCAGACTTTTTGTTGGCAGGCGTGATGTCTCTACTTTTTATTATGCTGTCTAAGATTCCATAGCTTTCCTCCCAAGGAGCAGGTGTGTTTTAATTTCATGGCTGCAGTCACCGTCTGCAGTGATTTTGGATCCCAGGAACTTGAATTCTATCACTGCTTCCATGACTTCCCCTTCCATTTGGCAAGGAGTGATGGGGCCAGATGCCATGATCTCAGATATATATATATATATTCTTTCACCCTCAGCAACAGTTTCTTTATGTCCTCTTCACTTTCTGCCATTAGAGTGGTATCGTCTGCATATCTGAGGTTGTTGATGTTTTTCCCGGCAATCTTAATTCCAGGTTGTGATTCATCCAGGCCGGCATTTTGCATGATGTACCCTGCATATAAATTAAATAAGCAGGGTGACAATATACACCTTGCCATACTACTTTTCCTATTCTAAACCAATCAGTTGTTCCATGTCCAGTTCTAACTGTCGCTTCTTGACCTTTATACAGGTTTCTCAGGAGACATGTGAGGTGATCTGGTACTCCCATCTCTTTAAGGACTTGCCACAGTTTGTTGTGGTCCACACAATCAAAGGCTTTAGTGTAGTTCTTTTTTGTTATATTGCTGTCTTTTTCTGGTCAAACAGTCTATTGGCTAGCTAAAATGACCAACCTGAGACTATTGTACTTTGGTCATATTATGAGAAGATAAGAGTCACTGGAAAAGACTAGGAAAAGTTGAAGGCAGCAGAAAGCATGTGGAATGCTATAGCCCAATCTCATCAGATATTGCAAGTTAAGCAGGGTCACTACTTGGAAGGGAGATCACCAAAGAAGACTCTACAAAGGAAGACAATAACAGACCATCACTGCTTCTCACTTGCCTTGAAAGCCCCTTGCTGGAATCACCATGTTGACTTCAATTTGATGGCACTTTATTCACACGTTATTCTTTTGTGCTCTTTACATTGGTGCTCTCCTCCTTATTCCCCCCTTTTTATGGACAAAGTCACCGGTGCCAGATGTGAGTTGGGCAATCATTTTATTTGCATAATCATTCTACCCCATTTTATGCATGCTCACCTAACTTACATGTAATGTCATTCGCAAGTTCAGTCCTGGCTGCACTATATGAAGGACTGGAAGAGGAGGTTTCTGTAATATCCTCTTTCTTCCTACTTTTTTCCTGAATGTCATTGACTAACCAGAATAATATCCACCTCAAATGCAGTGTTTTTGATCCAGTGCTCTCTGTTCATGTAATTTGAACATGCCTTGATACATCTATATTTGGAAATGATTAATAACATTTTTCAAAGGACTTCTTGTTTGGTACATCACTCACAGAAGCATAACAAAGCATTCATTTTTCCTTTGCTTTTTACAGAACAGTCAAGTAGAGAAGATGAAGAGATGAGGGTAACAAATTCTGATCTGGCATAAGGAATAACCTAATTTCTAGTGCACTGAGTAGTACAGAAGCATATTAATCTTTCAGTGCTTGGTGAAATGTTATTCTCAATGTCCATATTAAAAGGGAAGCATCAATTAAGATGTGTAAAAATATTGTGAGGAATAGAGGTTTTATGTGTTATTGTTTTGGTTACTTGGTTATAAATCAGCTATGCCTGAAATTGTGTAAAGGTCTCCTTAACTCTTCTCTAATGAACTTCCTCTGACTGTCATGGTTTTATTTGTCATACATAGTATTTAATTAGTGTAAAACTACGTTAGAATGGGCAGATTAAAGTATCTTCAAATCATCTGGTATTTCATTTCTTTCTTTTCTGAACCAATTAAGGAACACGTCATACAACACTGATACATTTAGCACCCTTTAAAATAATATATTTATTTTAAGTCATTACAAAGGTGCTGTAATCTCTAAACTTCATTCTTTGTTCTGTAAATCCTGCATAGCCAATTTTCTTTTAGGTGTATTAGGGTTGTGTTTTTTTTAAAAAAAATAACAGTATGCCCTTCAGGGATCCATTAAAAGATGCTACCACCGCAATTCTACAGCTGGAATATTTACATGAATTGCTTTGTGCTCATATAGGGTATACTAGCCTGCTGCCTGTGCTTCACTACGGTATTGAAGTTCCGTAAATCCAGTTATAATACTGATTATGTGAAATTTGAAATGTGACATTTGTTGTAGGAATTCTAACAGAGAAGATTGTAGTGTAAAAAATGAAGTGAGACATATGTACTTTTTTCCCCTCTACTGAAGGACCTCTCTCTAGACCACATTGGTGGTTCTGCCCTTGGGTGCTAGGATCACCAGGTTGCTTGATGAGTTCACTCTGGAGCAGGCCACATAGAACTGTCCATTTAAGAAGCAGTCGTCTGTTAAGTCAGCTCCTGCTACCTTCCACGAAAGTCATGGCCTCACTACTTGAATTCCTGGACTGTTTTGCTCATATGAAGACTGTTTTGTTCTGAACACCTCAGGGTGATCTTGCTTTGCCAGGAGCTTTCTTGGGGGCAGTAAGAGGTGAGAGGTGTGAGGGGGAGTTGGTGTGAGGGAGAGGTGATGTGGTGGACATTTCTTCAGGTTCATGAGGGAGGCATGCATCAAAACGGCTCCTAGAAAGGTCCTTTTCTATCTCCCCATAAACATTCATACCTTGGCCCTGCTCCTACACCTGACAGACACCGACTTGTCTGGTGTTGGGGGGGATTGTATTTAAAGGCATCGGGAAGGCTGGGCCAGCAGCAGTGCTAAGGCAATCCTGCTGAGCAAACCTCCCTGGTGGCTGTAAACATCCCACCTCCTCTCCTACACCTGACAGGCAGCTGCCTGTCCAGTTTAGGAGGGGAAGGAGTATTAGAAGTCACTGTGGAGGTAGAGCTGCACCTGACAGACAGCTGCCTGCTGGGTGTAGGAGGTGGGGGGAGTGTGTTGGAAGCCATCAGAGAGGCTGGGCCATCAGCTTTGCTTCACCTCACAGGTGGTTCTTGGCCACTCCAGATTTCCTCAACTGTCATTAGCTCTCTGCAGTCCCCTGTAACTGTTGGGGTTTTTTTAACCTCAGAACACTGAGGTCTGCAGCTGACCAATCAGAGAGTGGGGGGGTGCAGAGAGGCAGCTGCCTGGCAGCTGCTGGAAGAAAATGAAGGTAGCAAAATCTACTCCTGTAAAATTCCTATGCATAAGGGAGCTTAGATTCGTTGGATAATATATTGTTGGAAATGAAGAAAGGATGAATGTATGAACTTGCATGTATATTCAGGCTAAAAAGCAAACTCAAGCTACTTCTGGTTATTCCAGCTTTTTCATGAAGGAATTATAGAATTTGCTGGAGCAAGGGTGACAACAATAAATCTTCTGTTGTGGGCTCCAGATTATAAATAGATAGGGATGGGCACCAACTGGCAAATGTGCTTCCATTCGTGGTTCATGGTGCACCTGGTTTTGAACCATGAACCGTCACAAACTTCTAGCAGCCAAATGAACTGGCTTGCTATGTGCCCTCTAATGGCAAGCAAACTTCCAGAGATTTCAGCTGAGACTCAAGGTGGATTACAGGATGTATGCATATGTGCATTATTAAAACACTCGTTTTTAGCAAAATGCAATGATAATAATCTAAACAGGGGTCATACAGGAAGTGCAGCAGTCACCTCTCCTTGTAATTCAAGTCCACTGTAATTATTCTTCATGTTCACTTATACTTCTAGACAATTCACTATTTTTAAACTGTGGATATTGTACATGGAATTTGGTTAATTGTGAAAATACACTTCATGCAATTTAATTTTGGATATTTCAAGAGCAGGCCTTTCAATCTCACTTTCCTCTTAGGAACCTAATTACTTATCATTCCAATTCCAATTGGAAATATCACTGGTTTGCATATAAGGCTTCACATTTTGTCTATCTTTGTGTCTCACTAGTTGAAAAGATACAGAACCAGTGGGATGAAGTACATGGGCACCTTCAGAGCAGAAGACAGCAGTTACATGAAATGCTGAAAGATTCAGCACAATGGTTGGAAGCTAAGCAAGAAGCTGAGCAAGTTCTAGAATGTGCCAAAGCCAGGCTTGAGTCATGGAAGGAGATTTCTTATACTGTGGAAGGACTGAAAAGGCAGAATGCTGAACTCAAGGTAATTTCTGAAAATAGAACAAAAATGAAAAAGCAGTAAAGTATACACATTTTCAAACATTGATTGGACCGCCCTATGGCTAGAATAAAATCAAGGGCAATTTCCTGACAAGAATTCCATCATCCCTCTAACTCACTCCCAGTTTCACTAACATATTCCAGCCTCTGCACATTCACCACTTCTTTTACCTGTTATATAGTGTAATGTAGCCCATTCTTTCACTAATTTACAATGTCTCAGGCTGAGAATGCAAAAATATAATTTACTCAGTAAAAAAGATGCTGATAAATTCTGACTGTTCACTAAAAAACTCTTTTACATTTGTATTGTTTCTTTGGAGACATGTAGGGTGCAGTCAGATGGGCCATTTAGTCCGCTTTTGTCCCGCCTCAGAAATGGATTTTATCTGCGCAATCACACAGTCAACATCCGCCTCCCATCCTCAGCCATTGCTTTCCAGCTCAAAACTGCTTTAACCCAGAATATTTTGATACCAGGTCCCCAAGTGGTGTTTTCCTGATTCTCCGGTTCCAGCTGCATTTCCCCCGTGTGATCGCGCCTCCGGTGTTGAGCCACTTCCAGTTTAAACCCCCTCCCTGTTTGAAAGCTGCCCGCTGCTTCCACTTTTTACGTTGGCAGTGTGCGCATAGGCGGAGCTCCGCCACTGCATTATTAGAAACAATGTTTAAACAGTGCCTAGTTTTAGCATTTAGATGAGTTCGAGATCTCACGGAGGCCATTTTTGGGGTAAACGTTTAAAGGGAGGTGTTACAGCAGTCAGGTTGAAGTGGAAATTGCTGTTCTGCGCATGTGTGAAAATTTTAGTTCTACAAATGGCTGCCTGTGCGCATGCCCAAACTGAGAGAGAGAGAGAGAGACAACACCGACGCACACTCCCGCGTGTGGACGGTGGGGAGCAATGTGGCTGTGCAGGGATCTGGAGCAAGGAGGTGAGTGTGATCACGATTCTCCAGGTTAAAAAAAAACTGCATCGGGGCCGGAGCAATTTAAACTGCTCCCAGCACGCCGTCTGACCGCACCCATAGAGCAGTGCTCTTGCAGTCCTACTATATATTGATGTAACGTTAGCAGTATGCAACTTGATTACTACCTTTGATGGAAGAGACACACTTCCAGACACATTGGATATTTATTACCAGGTTGGTTGGCTAATTTAAATACTCTATGGCCAAAAATTATTTGTATAATTATACTATTTATAAATCCTAACAATTATATAATTTCAATTTTGATGTAGAACAATTTGGAGAGCATGAACAGTTACCATGAGAGATTATCCATGGCCTACTATGTAAACTTTTAGCAATCACACATCACATGAGGGAACAACAGCAAAATGTTTCTGGTATTTTTAAATTTACTATCATGTGCATTTATATGTGTCTTTGATATGTAATAATTCAGCTTTTTTTCTCTCCCTATTGACAATTTCAGAAAGCAACACCTGGCTCTAAAGAAAGTTTTCTTTAAAATATATTTATTTCTGGATGTGTGTTGTTTTACAATAGTAAATATCGACCACTGAGGAAGGCCCTAAGGGGCCAAAACGTATATGGTGTACTGGTCATAAGATATACCCATCAATTGTATATGTATAACTTTCAGCTCTGTGTGTAAAAGTTTTAAGAGTCTATTTGGATCATTGCTTTTAACCTATTTTATCTTTTACTAATGTGTACACCATAATAAATATTTGTATGTTTTGTTAGCTTGACCCTCATATATCACAGTCATATCTTGGGTTGAGTTGTCCCCCCCCCTTTTTTTTCCCTCCTCTGTTTTCCCAAGAATGCCATTTTCGAATTTACTGCTCAGGAAATGAAGTCAGTCCCATGATAAAGTATTGAAAAAGATAGTGGAATTAAGAATTAATTAAAAGTTATTTGGAAGAGGATAGGAACATATTTAATGAACAACAGAGAAAGGTTTTGAATGAACCTATAACAATGTATGAGCTATCGGAAGCAAAAAACAAAAAAAGAATAAGGCACCAGGTCCAGATGGGATTCCAGCGGAATTCTATAAAAAATTTTAGGAAGAGGTAGGTCTAACGTTTAAAGAAACTCTCCAGAAAATAGGGCTAATGGAAAAAATCCCTGAGTCATGGAACCAGGCACTAATCACCTTGATTACCAAAACTAACTCGGATTTAAGTGATATCAAGAACTATAGGCCCATATCACTGCTAAATGCTGACTATAAAATATTTGCTGGAATTTTAGCAAATAGACTTAAGACTGTACTTTCACAAATGATACACCAAGATCAGATGGGCTTTCTTCCCAAGAGACAGATGAGGAATAATTTACGGGTAATTATAAATGTACTAGAATATTATGGAGACCACCCAGATAAAGAATTGTTGTTACTGTTTCTCGATGCCGAAAAGGCATTTGACAACTTATCGTGGAAATTTCTACTACAAAAATTGAAAAAAGCTGAAGGTGGGCAGTACTTCTATAAAATGGTAAAAGCCCTTTATACAGTACAGTACCCTAAAGTAATAGTGAATGGAGATTTAACTAACAATATAGAAATTCAAAAGGGATCGAAACAAGGGTGCCCTATGTCACCATTGTTGTTCATATTTGCATTAGAATCACTAAATGACACGGTAAGAAGTAATAACTTAATTGAAGGTCTAAAAATTAAAGATGAAACATACAAATTATTGGCATTTGTGGACGACTTAGTGTTTATTCTTGAGAAACCAAAAACATCATTAATAAATTTACTGGATACGATTAAGAATTATGGGCAAGTGGCAGGGCTCAAAATAAATTACACAAAATCTAAGATCCTTTTTAAAATAAAATAAAAACATTTATATATATAAAAAAAGATAGTGGAAAGGGCAGAGACTTCTGGGGGGGGGCTTCCCTCCTGCTTACTGTGGCTCACATGCCTGCCTCTGTCCCCCACTTTCTGCCACTACTCACATACTTGCCCCAGCCAGTTTGGTGTAGTGGTTAAGTGCGCGGACTCTAATCTGGGAGAACCGGGTTTGAGTCCCCACTCCTCCACTTGCACCTGCTGATGTGACCTTGGGTCAGTCACAAGCTCTGGCACAGCTGTCCTTGAAAAAGAGCAGTTTGTGTCAGAGCTCTCTCAGCCCCACCCACCTCACAGGGTGTCTGTTGTGGGGAGGGGAAGGGA